CGATCTTTCGCATCAAAATTTCGGCCAGGAATACCGAAGTTTTTTACTCGGACCCTGCGTGTATCAAACAAAAACACTGAGAAAGACCAGTGACACTATTTTCTTATTTAGTATTGAACACATAATGCTGCTTTTTCTTTAACTATTGTCCAACATATCAGTAAATCATTCAATCCAAGTTACTGGTTACATAAACTAATTTGTGCATTGTCTTAAAGTGCTTAATATGTATGTAGAGGATGTCGCGGATCGAAACCGATTACTTTGCAAGACATCCAGGACCTGAAGTGTCACTAGGTTGAGAAATATTCATATAAGTAACTGAAAAATATGTGACGTTAACATTGGGTTGAACTTGCACAGAATAACCAAAAATATGTAACTACCACTAAATCATACCACTTGAGTGCAATTGGTTAATATGAGTTTATTACTCGAAAAACATAACAAGTTGAACTTATTCATAAGATCACTTACGAATTGCTAGAACAGTACATGTTTGACCAGATAGGGTTTTATTAGCAGGAACAACTTAAGACTGATCAAACAGTACAGAAAGATAAAAAGTGGTTATTTTAAACGCAGTTTAAAAATAGACTGTATGCAGATTTTTACAGATGACATGTGTACACGAGTGAGAAAGTCGAAAGTAGTTGAGCTGAAGTGTGTACTATCTTCGGTTACTTAGCGTCTACCCTGGTGCCGACGAATTATTTGATCAGAGCGATCTATATAAAAAAAGTAATAGTAGAATAACATAAGAAGCTTGTGGAGATTGTTGAATCTTCGCAGATTACGTCACGCATTGATCTTAGACAAGCATGGGGTTTCTGAATGCGATAATATTTAAGGCAACCAACTCTAAATTAATGCAACATGCTCTTGTTTGAATTAGTTGTAGCATAAAAGATGATTCAACTTTTCCAAACAATAAACTACCTTTTTTAATTTGAGGCTTGTTTTTTATTAGTGCCAGGTATTCGTTCTCGACTGCATTTTCACCATCATTTTCGACCACTTTTGAAGACTTTTTGGCTGGCTGTCGTTTTTGAGCGATTGAGGTGAACCAGTGCCAGATACCAATTAGAATTGCTATACTCAAGGCAATTACTAAGATAACCAAGAAAATCAATTCAGTGTCTACACCTTCTTCGATTTCAAATAACTGTAGGGAACGATTACAAAGTATAAATAACTTACGTTAACAGTTTGATTAAATAACTTATGAGCATAATAAATGTCATTATTGTCATGATAGTAGACAACAATAGACAGGTCAAAAGATCGACCAGCTAATTCAGGAGCGGGTTTGAATCTGTAATAAAGGGAAGTCTAAAAATTATTTGGTAAACGGAACCAAACAAACCTCTTGACCGGGCTCTAATGTCTCATGGAGGCGTTGCTTGGTAAAGTTCTGAATGTGATAGTCATAGTACATGGGATAGTGAAGTGCTCCTTCTATAAAATCTAGTTTAAATTGTTCACCGTTTGTCGGGTTGGTATTAGCCAAGGAAGCCACAAGGGATGAGATTTTTCCGACGGGCAAGTTTATTTCACGACGTCCAGAGTAAAGACCATATGGAGGTTTACTAAGGGCTACCAAGACACCAACAGCTGGGGATCCCTTGAATCTATCGTCTTCATTTGTTACAGAAGGTAAGAGCGTGGAGTCTTCTTCAGACAAAATAGTTGCGTCCTCGGCAAAAGAATTAAGTACTTGAAAGTAGAAAGTTAATAAATTAAGTCAGAGATCCAAACAACACGTATAAATTATAAATATTGCTTTGATTATGACCAGATAGATATATCATGTGGTAAGTATTCTGCACTAGTCTCAAAAGTAATAACTTTTTAAATGTTCCAAGGATGTTCATACCACAGGTTAACTGAATATAGTCGATATACAGACTAGGTGCAAAATATTACGTTAAAGCGGCTGAAGATGACTTGAATTAGCAACCAACCTTTAAAGATGAGGTGGATCAGTTATCACTTGTTTTTGTTATTTGGAAGTGTACACGAATTCGCTGTCTGAACTCCATTCTGGAAATTAGGTTTGAAATATGATGGTAGAGCTATAATACTTAACAATCGCTTCTGATAGAAATGGCCACTAAGAAAGCTGTTTACCCTAATATTGCTTTCATCAGCTTGATCTTTCTTTGAATACGTTAATATGGCATACGATAGTAACACAAACAATCTTCCCTAGTAATTAAGCATTTATACTGATGAGGTCAACTTGACGTTCTTCAGGTTGGTTCGATGTTGCGATACATTCAATCTATCTGGAGACGCATCGAGCATGGTAACACTTGATAACGCCAGCGAACAAACTAGGTTTTCTGTTAGTACTAAGAAGTTCCTAAAAGCCAGGCTAGGAATATTTTTGAATTGCTGCTTTCTTCTAGAAGCTAATTGGCAAGAACGATAACGAACATCTGTGTCACATTCGGGTGGGACAATTCTATAGTTTCCCAAGTATTACACAATTTTGTGTAGACATGTATATTCAACTTTTTTTGCGTTGTAGAAGGTGGACTATTTAAAAAGGATAGTGGTATTTAAATCAATGAATAAACTTGTTAGTCTTCAACGAATTCTGAACAAACACCATAACATATCAAAGATAAGGTTTCTGTAATCAGTTCTGAAAAGTTGACAAGTTTTTTTACTCACATTTGACTAATCTCACTGCAAAAGACTAGACTGCATTGAAAAAAATCATAGTGAGTGTAGTCTTTATAAATCTTAGTAAAGCCTCGGACAAGCTCTGTTTTACGAGTATTAGAGTGAAGCTGGAAAGCCCTAGTATCGGTTGTACAGTTAGATATGAGATTAGTTACTGTCTCAAAGATAAGTAAATTGCGAGTGAAAGGTGATATCAGTCAGTAACAATGTAGAACTTCGTACGTACGTACATCAGTTCGAGTTGCCACACCACATTATCACAGAGATGCAGTTGTCGATTCAAATCCCATAGTGGTAGAGGCGGTAAGAGTATAAGCAGTAATCGGAAAGACTAGGGTTTGAAGATGTTATTCAAGGAGTATAGTCCAGTAAAACAAATTTGGAAAGAGGGAAAAAAGGGACATGAAGAATTCAGAAGATAAGAATTCGGGAGAACATAGAGTGGATGCACCTGCGCCATTGCAAACAATCTAAAGCCATGTCATTCAGGGTCTCTAACCATCGCTTGCTGTTATCTCGCGGTTCCCAACCAGGTAGTCTACACCTACCAATATGGTTCAGTTCATTTGTCAGTCATTTTATGGACTTATGCCATGTTTTAGTCTGGCCGCCCCTAGCTTTCTTCCAACCTACTACTATACCGTTGAACATCGCCCATCGAGGCAGTCGGTGGTTGGGCATACGTAACGCGTGTCCCAGCCATCTCAACTGATGAATTTTCACTGCTTCATCAATTGATTTGCCATCCTTACCTAGTACCCGTTTCCTAACAACTGAGTTACTTACTCGATGGTCCCAGGATGTACGAGCAATGTTTTAAAGACATCTATGATCAAATAATTGTAACCTACGAATATCTTCTACTCTTACCGGCCATGTTTCACTGCCATAAAGTAGTAATAGTGGTAGTAGTAAAAAGGGTGATATGCCTTCATGGAAGTTTGTGAAGCACTGCAAAAGACAATTCTAGAAACCTTTTCTTCTTTACTATACGTAAATGACCTAGCCAAAATAGGGAAGCCATCGGTTTTATTTCTTACACACAGCATAAACATTTCAAAATGCATAAAAATTGAGGATGATAAGTTGGGATCACGGGGAGGTCAGAATGAACCAGTTAGGTCAGTGGAAGCGGACTTGGACGGAAGTGTAGCAACGAATGTCGACCAACGCGACGTTTCACGTCACTACCTAATAGATGGAATACTTTTAAATAAGGCTACGAATTATAGTAACTAAATTACCGTAGGCAATGACACCATAACTATGAGTAATTGTAAAGCGGCTGCAGATAAAAGGTCCCGAATTTTGTGAGCTATACATGAAGCGTTTTGAAATTGGGAAGGAATGTTCGGAACATTAATTCGGACACAATAGGGGTTGCAATATAGAAAATAGGACTTAAGGGATAAGCACCTTTCGAATAAAAAGCCGACATATTAGAACGGGTTCAATGGGGAGAGACCATGATAGTTCCCGAGCTCCCAATTTTGGGGAAATGGCACAAAAACCACAAAATTTACCCTTAACCTTGGTCAAGGTCATTTGACTTCGGGAGCTTCCCCAAAATTGGAAGCTCGGGTTGTCTTTTAGACTTACCGTATGAGCACAGACTGAGACGTTTTAACCCACATTGATATCTTATCATGTTAAGAAGTAGCTTATCGTTTAAGTAAGCAAATAGTTTGCTGGTTGACGACCTATGCACTTATATCGAACCTATAACTGTTGTTTATGATTTATCATTTAGGAAGACAATTTCGGAAATTCTAAAAACTAAGGTCAGATGATTAACATCTGGAGTTTTTTCCTCAGACTGAACCGTAAATTACTGGGGTCCTATGAGTATGCAATATCAGAGACATTTTTGATGCGTTCATAACGAGAATTAACATCGATTACTTGGCCACCTATCCTTATCCTAGAAAAGTGGAACATCAGTTCTAAAAACAGTTAAAGTGGTTATCAAGAGCAATAACTGAGCCTGGTTTTAACAGCAAATGTGGAAGTTAGTAAATAGTTTAAAAACGTCTTAGTAGTGATATATAGATAACTTACTATAATTGTTACATAGAAGTAAGATCCATGAATAATATGCAAAGTTACAAGACAACATGATTAAACTAATGCATCGAAGGACGTCATCAATACGTGTCGCAAATTTAATAATTGGTCGATTAAAACAAAATAACATTTTCTTGTAAACGCTTTTTTATTTATTCAAATTCATAATAAAATGCTTTTACTCAAAGGTTGAAATAAATTTGCAAACACCATACAGCGCTAATATTAACTTCTTGTTAGTGAGGATGTCGTACGCCTATCTATTTAAGTATATAATTATAGGGGATACAGGTGAGCACAAATTACTCATCCCAATTATTTGAAATTCATCTTATGTGGTGGGCTTTAATCACACTAATTCCTGCATTAAAACCAATGGTACAGTTGTGCGTACTGAGTTGATTGAATTATGTAGTTGACATATTCATGGACCTAATTTGTTCTTACTGCATAACATTAAATCTAGAAGATCTGCAAGTTTTCCTTACATGCTGATTTGTTTTTTTCTACCGCGATTAGTATTTGCAAACACATGTTTATTTAGAAAAGGTGACGAATGTGACAAAAAGTAACTGAGTAATGGCCAAAATATGGTTTTGAATTCCTTAACCGCATACTCAACTTCTTCCCAAACATCTATTGGTCAGGTCTAAGTGTCAGATATCTGCTTAGATTCTACACTGTAAGAAACTGTAAAATCTCATTACCAATGTAGAATAATAAATAGTTACTTTCAATTGAAATTTATCGGTGTATCACTAACATCTTGATAAGGCTTAAAGGATCTTATGAGTCAGTGACTTGTGGTTTTCTTAGGTACAGATGAAAATCCGGCTTTCCAAATGAAGAATAGGTATTTGTTAAATGCGTTTTTCTCATGCAGTGCAATGTTACGTCTGGAGTCATTCTTGCGTTACTACCGGTCTTAAGCTCAGATGAAAGAAGAGAGTCGAGCATGGAGTTATCAACCCCGTTTCTTAGAGAAAAAATGTTAACTGGGTAAATGATTTGAACAATGCTCTCATGTATTGAAACAGTCAAGAAAACGTTATTAACTTCGCTTACAGTACTTTAGACAGGAAATATCTTTAAAAAAACTGGACTTTATATTATTGTACGCGTTCATAGATAGTGGATTTGGTTCCATACGGAACTAAGAGTACAAAATCGTCGTAAGTTTCGAATTCCAACCACTTAGTCATAAGAAAGCTTAGGGCCTGGTAGAAATGTTTGAGATGTTACTCCTTTTCCACAACAGGAGGGCAAATTCTGAAATTAGACCACCGAAACATTTTTAATGCTGGCGATAAGGTGTGAAAAATGTGTGGATACGTCAAAAACTAATCACAAAAGGTCACATAATCATCCTCGTGTAACTCCCCTGGCCTTTACAACCATGCCTTTATTTTGGCAAGACTTACACTGTTAATTCAGTTTTTGTTCCAAGTGTGGACAATCAACTACAATTCTTAACTTCATTTGTGCGTTGCTTCAAGTCATCTGGCATCACAACAACACAATAAGAGGAAATTTACAAAATAAATACCAAAGAAGTTGACACAATCATAGTGTTAGTGAAGGTAAACATTGAGGAATGTACTCTCAAAATAATGAATGAAATAAAAGATTATGAAATAAAAAACGATGTCAATACTCAAGACTTCGTTTAAGATTAAGGATAAATGCATTTGCGCCGCCGCAATCGATTTTGATCCATGTTACCTAAAATCTTCAACCGTTAGTTCAGTCAGTCAGCTACAACGTAGGACCAGGCACATATATGCATCAGTCCAAGTTGCCATACCTCATTAACACAACAAGATGGACACCGGATTCATAAAGTAGTTAATTCAGAGGTGGTAATATGTAAAAGAAAGATTGTAATAAGGATATAATACAGGAAGAAAGAATTAGTTCGTAGAATGAAAGATATGAAGTTAGGGGCTGCCAAACCAAAACGTGGCATCAGTGCTTGAAGTTACTAACGTTTTGGTTTGGCCGCCCTTAACTTCCAACCATCCCCAACACCGGTTAGCATTGCACGTCGTGGTAATCGGTGTTCAGTCATACGCAACACGTGGCTCAACCATCTCAGTAGATGAAGATTCACAACTTCATCAACCGACTTACCATCATTCCGTAATACCCTGTATCTAACCTCACTATTACTTACCCGGTCTTGGTTGATTATGAATACAGTGATCTTGAGTGCTGTTAGAGGTATGAGGGAGGTTATCACTTCCCGGTTGCCCACACCGTGGAAGGGTTGCTCTGGAGGTACCTGAAAAGGAAATTGGATTAGAGGTGGTCTTATTGACCTGGGAGCGTGACCGCAGTGCCCAAGGGACAACTGCTTAAGGTCGGTCACACACGACCTTTTTATGGGTAATTTTTGTGTTAGCTCCGTACTTGTTGAGACCTTACCACCGGAGACGGATATCTGTGGGATAAGGCGAGGTGTGCATTTTTCGGGTCGACCTTTTCTAACCCCACCCGGTGATCCCAGCAGATGTCAGCAATATTTCTAAGGCATCTGTGGTCAAATTCTAGTAGCTTACGAGTGTCTTCCACTCCTAATGGCCATGTTTCGCTGCCGTAAATTGAAACAGAACGAACTGCCGCGCAGTATACTCATCCTTTTATTGATAGACGGATATCTCGCGTTCGCCATAGGTGACGTAAGTTGGCTTTCCGAATCCGAGCTGAAATTTCGTCAGACACCAACCCATTAGGGCTGATCAGACTTCCAAGATAAGTGAAGTTTTCAACGCGTTCGACTACTTCACTCCCTATCCTTAGTTCAGGTGTTGACGCAGACCAGTCCTGAAGCATCAACTTGCATTTAGAGGGAGAGAAGCGCATTCCAAACATTCTGGCATTGTTGCTTAGTGCTACCAAAAGACTATGCATTTTATCAGCGTCTTCGCCAAAAAGGACTATATCATCTGCGTATTCTAAGTCGATAAGTAGACCTCCTGGTAGATCAATACCCGAGAATTCAGTCGATGAGAACGTTATTTCCATCAGTAGATCTATGATGAAATTGAACAAAAATGGAGATGGTGGACAGCTTTGCCGGACACCACTCGAGATCGAAAAATCAGATGACAGTTCGCCATAAGCTCTGACTCAACTAGTAGTGTTCGAGTAAAGAGCCTTCACAAGGTTTATGTACTTCTAATGTACGCCTTTCAATGACAGACACTGCCACAGAATCTCGCGGTCTATAGAGTCAAATGCTGCTTTTAAGTCGAGAAAGACCACCATTGTCGGACGCCGATAAGTATGCCTGTGTTCCAGAACCTGACGAATGGTGAATATGTGGTCGATGCAGCCACGACCAGGTCTGAAGCCGGCTTGGTTCTCTCGTGTTTGCAGTTCATGAGTCTTAGTTAGGCGTCTGATAATTATCGAGGCTAGTATTTTAGATATTATATTAGTTAAACTAATCCCTCTATGGTTGTCACAGGTTGATTTTAACATGTCTTCAGATAAATGGTTTTTGCGCTCATTGTACCGAGTTTCCACTTTGAACACAGCTGGTGACAGAATTATTCCCTCACTATTATCATATACACTACTTAGGACACTATACACGGAACAGTTTTTCAAGAAGAAATAATAATAATGGGAGAAAGGGTAAATAAAAGTAGTGATCTTGGGTGAAAAATATTCTTCTGTTGAAAGCATGTAGAATGTTGGCTACAGCACAACCAAAGAATTTTTGGTTGAAATCTAGGAGTTGGACGTAATCCCATCTGACTGGTCACAATCAATAATTGTCCCAACACATAAGAAGGGGTCAAAATCATCCCATGATAACCATAGAGGGGTTAGTTTGGCTGATATAGCGTCTAAAATACTAGCTTAAATAAGTATCGGACATCTAAGACTCGTGAACCGAAAACACGAGGAAATCAGACATGGCCTTGGCTGCATCGACCACATATTCGTCATTCGTCAGATTTTAGAAGAGGTATGTTTATCAGTCATTAAAGTCACTAACTTCTAGTCTGAGCCATGTTGGGAGATGCAGACCACTTGGTCGGGGTCCGCGTGACTATCGTAACCAATGGTTAGAGACTGTAGGTGGCATGGCTCAGAATCGACCACAATGGCGTAGGTTTATACACTCTTTGTCTCCCCTTAAACTGTGAGATTAAAATTGCTTCATACTTTTTTTACGAAATAACTCTTCTTGTACTATAGCCTTATACACAATCTTTTATATATTACTGCCATTGAAGTAACTGCACTTATGAATTTGGTATTCATCTTGTTCTGATGAGATGTGGAAACTTGGACAGATGCATATATGTACCTGGTCCTACGTTGTAGCTGACTGACTGGGGCTATTTAAAAATTTTTATTTAAGTTTACCGAAAGTATTTACTTTATTTTAAGATATAAACACTGCTTCAAATAAACACCGAAATGTGCCACACAATAAGAAAATGTGACTGATAAGATAGAAGAATAAATGAATAAAAGAAAGTGATGGGAGGAACTATACAGTTAAGAAAAATGCAACCAGAAAAAATCCCTTCAGTTAAATAAGTCCATCTCACTTTTACGATTAATGTGAAAGAAAATTACAACATTACTCTCATAAGTCCCTGCTGTGAGCCGTTTCTTTATAGCTCTTCAAGCCACTGAGTTGCGTCATCTCTCGGACCCCAAACAGGAATTCGCAATGGGCCGATAGATGCCAGTTCTACACAACTACTTTTCATTCCACGAGATAATGTCTTTAACTGACCATCACCGGTTTTTTCAACCAGTCCAGCATCGGCAAATAATACACGATATGGAAATTTCTGTACTGATCAACCCACCCAAGCCAGTGTTTCAAGATGATGACACCCATTAAGTTGTTATCATTGCACCCAGGCTCATTGCCGAACAGTGGTATAACTAATACATTGTTGCTACCGAATGCCCTCAGCTCGGAACAGAGATCAGGTCCCACCAGTAGAGAACAGCACTACCTCCGTGTTGTAAATTCAACCTTTTAAAATCAAACTGACATTACGACAACATCGAAGTTGACCTAGATTTACGTAAACAACTCTACCTTTCGCGACATGCAAATTAATCTCATTTTACGCATCACCTCCAACTCGTATACATCTACCATGATAGACGGACTTTTCGACTATTTTTAGCGGTTCACCACATGAGAGCTAGTGCAGATACATGATCCTTCAAGTCTTCGAGAAGTAGTTTGCACTTCAATTATACAAAGCACACATCGATCAGCAAATAATTGGGGGTCCTTTGGATAGTTTGCGTATCATCTGACGGTAAGATAATGTCATCCATCTACTCAAAGTCAAAAAGTTTACCTCCATTGTTACTACCTTGAATTTACCTCTGAAGTTTTGTTTGTATGTCTTTTTGTTGTTTGTGTAGCAAATATTCAGATTTTCTTTTAGATTGGGGTAATTTTGTAGTAAATTACACCTATGACTGTTCTTGTTAAACATTTCTTTAGGCGTTGGGAAGTCATGTTTACTATTGCAGTTTACTGACAAGCGATTTCAACCAGTTCATGATTTAACTATCGGTGTTGAATTCGGGGCTCGAATGATCAATATAGATGACAAACAAATCAAGTTACAAATATGGGACACTGTTAGTGATATCTTTCTAAGTTTAGTTCTCTTTTCAGGCTGGACAAGAATCGTTTCGATCAATTACTCGATCTTATTACCGTGGTGCAGCAGGTGCATTACTAGTATATGATATCACCAGGTAATTTGTTTAATTTTCATAATTTGTTTTCTACAGAAGAGAAACATTTACTCATTTAACTACCTGGTTGGAGGATGCTAGACAACATTCAAGCTCTAACATGGTTATTATGCTGATAGGAAATAAAAGTGACTTGGAAAGTCGACGCGATGTTCAAAAAGAGGAAGGTGAAGCATTTGCCAGAGAACATGGCTTAATTTTTATGGAAACATCAGCTAAAACTGCCGCTAATGTTGAAGACGCCTTTATTGATACAGCGAAGTGTATTCATGGAAAAATCCAGGAGGGCGTTCTTGATGTCAATAATGAGGTAAGTTTATTCTTTCAATCAAATTATTAATACTTCTATGTTTACCACTGTTGACAATTTAAATAGAGTTTTTATAACAGATTTCAGAAAATCTAGTGTTGTTAATATTATTTTAAAGTGTAACTGAATATCTGGAAGTAATGTCAATGCCAATTTTTCCTGTATTTAAATAATTAAATACAGTTCCTTCGGTTATTAAAGAATGATATTAATACGGGTCGAATCTAAGCAGGACATATTACTTTGTCAATTACAATGTAAATTCTGTGTATCAAAGAATACTACTAAATATAAATCAATGCTTCTATACTTAGGACTGATTTGGGATTTTAAATAATTTTCAGTTGTATTTTTGTGGTCCATTAAAACTTAATAAATGTACACTAATTACTAGAAAGTAGGTAAATAATTCGTGCGTTTCGTCCTGTACTGAAAAAGTTCTGAATTTTGTCATATCGGTAAAATATTCTTACTTACTTACTTACGCCTGTTACTCCTCGTGAAGGAGCATAGGTTACTCACCAGCATTCTCCATCCAACCCTGTCCTGGGCAATCCTTTCTAGCTCCGTCCAGTTGTAATTCATCCTTTTTATATCTGCTTCTATTATCCGACGCAATGTGTTCTTTGGCCTTCCTCTTTTCCGCTTCCCTTCATCATTCCAAGTTAGGGCTTGCCTCGTGATGCAGTTTGACGATTTGCGTAATGTATGTCCTATCCATTTCCATCGTCTTTTCCTAATTTCTTCTTCAGCTGGAAGTTGGTTTGTTCTCTCCCACAGAAGGCTATTGCTGATGGTATCCAGTCAATGAATGTTGAGCATCTTGCGTAGATAACCATTTATAAATACGTGTACCTTCTTGATGGTGGTTGTTGTAGTTCTCCAAGTTTCAGCTCCATACAGTAGAACTGCCTTGACGTTCGTATTGAGAATTCTCACTTTGATATTGGTTGAAAGTTGTTTTGAGTTCCATATGTTCTTCAATTGTAGGAATGCGACCCTTGCTTTGCCAATCCTTGCCTTTACGTCTGCATCTGATCCTCCTTGTTCATCGATAGTGCTTCCCAGGTATGTGAAGGATTCTACATCTTCCAGAGTTTCGCCACCAAGAGTGATTGGATCGCTGTTCTGCGTTTTGAATTTGAGGACCTTGGTTTTCCCCTTGTGTATGTTGAGGCCTACTGATGTAGAGACTGCTGTTACATTGGCTGTCTTTATCTGCATTTGTTCGTGTGTATGCGATAGGCGGGCTAGGTCATCTGCAAAGTCCAAATCGTCTAATTGGTTTTGAGCTGTCCATTGTATTCCGTGTTTTCCTTCAGATGTCGAGGTTTTCATAATCCAGTCGACCACCAAAAGAAAGAGGAAGGGAGAGAGTAAACAGCCTTGTCTGACTCCGGTCCTTACTTGGAATGCATCTGTCAGCTGTTGATCTAAAAGTTGGGCGTCTACTGCATCCTTCATCCGGTTCAGCAAAACTCTGTTGAAGACTTTCCCTGGTATTGACAGTAGTGTAATGCCTCTGTAGTTTTCACATTTGCTCAGATCTCCTTTCTTTGGAATCTTGACGAGGTGTCCTTCTTTCCAGTCCATCGGCACTTGTTCCTCCTCCCAAATCTTTTTGAATAGAAGATAAAGCATGCTTGTGGTTGCTTCGATGTCTGATTTCAGTGCTTCAGCTGGTATGTTGTCGGGTCCTGCTGCTTTCCCGTTCTTGATTTGTCTGAGTGAGATTATTCTTTTGTACTAAGGATATCTTGTATCATCTCCCTAAAAATCATTGCCTGAGTTTTAAAATCTCTAAAAGAACTAAGATTAAGACTTAGTGAAAATTTAAGTTACAAATAGATTACGGTCTTCTAGATTACCAGTTTAATCCTATGCGTGTAATGTACAAAACCTCTCAACTCAGGTAGTTTATTCTACTAGTCCATGTTTTCTCGAGTCATATCTTCTATACTTAAGCTTTTCTACTACCACTAATACTGTTAATACTTATACTATTTCGGCACCTCGCTGTGCTGATGTTGTGTGGTAACTGACGTGTCAGAATGAAGATAGGAAAAAGTCACTCAGAACTGATTTGCGGACTATTGTTATTTATGTTCTTATTGTATAATTACTAAGTAACTGGAATACTATGTTTATATATTCCGTTTAATTTACTAACTATTTTTGCACTGTATATTATTCCTATTTTACTGCCAAAGGATTATTCACAGCTTGCCATATTCAAAGCCACTTTTGATTTGTTTATGTAAAACTGTGATTTTTCATTTTATGATGTGATGTGGTCCACTGTGTTTTAAACCCACGTATGCTTGGATTGTAATAGCACTAGAAGTTGTCTGCTAACTACTTGGGTTCAAAGCAAAATATGGAGTATAGTACACGAATATTGGGCCAATATGAGCTCAATTTGCGTAGTCTTAAGGTTAACTGAGCGAGTCAAAAGAGTAGCTATTCAAGTCTAGGGGAGCTAGGTTATAAACGGTATAGTGGATGAAGGATATAGAGAGAGTTCCACATGTGAAATCGATTAGTATCTCAAACCAAAATAGTAACTTGAATGGATGCGCATATGCGCCAGGTTCTATGTTACGTATTGCTGACTGATTGACTGTAACTACTACGAATCATCATCCACATAATGTTCACGCATATCACATGTTTCCAATTTGGCAAAAGTCTGGCTGTAAAAGTTCGTATCCACAACGCGTCGGTGAGGGCAGTTTTGCTCTATGCTTGTGAAACCTGGCCTCTCCGGGTTGAGGATGTTAGACGACTCTCTGTGTTTGATCATCATTGTCTCTGAAGGATTGCTGACATTCAGTGGCAACACCATGTTAGTAATGCAGGGGTTCGGCAGTGTGTGTTCGGGCTCAGTGACGATAATCCAATTGGCGTCACCATCCTGAAGCATCGACTTCGGTGGCTTGGACATGTTCTCCGAATGTCGTCCCAGAGAATTCCACGTCGTGCATTATTTGCCAACTCTGGGACTGTTTGGAAGAAGCGGAGAGGTGGTCAGTGCATGACATAGTGTCGTGGCATGAAAGAAAGCTGCAAAGGGATGGCTTCTGTTGGTCCTTCACGACTCCCTGGTTGGGGTCCGAAAGATGGTGCTACACAGTGGCTTGAGACGTTATCAGATATGGCTCAGAATTGAAGCCAGTGGTGATCCTGCTGTAATCTTTTACTTCATAAAAAGTGGTTGTGTCTCCTTTAACTGAAAAATTCTTCCGATTGTACCTTTCTGTTCCCTCATCATTGCTACACTACCTTACACCACCCTCTTTTATTGTTCTCTTTTTTTACGCTCCTTACCTTTTTTTCTCTTCGAATTCTCATTGTTTTGTGTGGCGCATATATATTGGCGCTCTCTTGTACCAGTATTTATGTGTTCAAATAAATAAATAATCAATTGTCTAAGACTTGACTGTTCGTTTACACACTAATCACTCTCTGTTCTCATTCTCTTCTCTTCGATCTTCTTAACCTTCTGCCGCTTAGCGTTTCACTCTCAATAGGTGATACATACTACTTATATCTGTCAACATCAGTAGCACACATCGCCGGGACTACTTCCAACTTTCCAAAAAAACTTACTTAGAAACTGTCTGCTAGAATGGATCATATCTAAATGCTTCCAAAGTGATCTACTAAGGTATGACCTGTTTCCTCAATGTAAAGGCTAATTACAAAAAGTCAGAAATAATGTAGGACCTAGCACAAATGATTGCTGGTAAAAGTTGACACGCCTCAGATCGGTACAGTAAGCATGAATGAAATGAACTAAAACGGAAGAGACAAAGAACTAAGTAAAATAGCCGAAAGTAACGAAAGTCCTGGAATTAAAATTATCGAATGATAATAAGTTTCTAATTCACAGAAAGTGGGTGAAGAAAAACATTCCGTCTCTCGAATAAATTTTTAGTTATCTCATCTAATATCATTAACCGTGAATGACTGTTATCTCGTGAAATTTAACCAGGAGATTCATACATTCCTATCGGGTCCATCACTCTTAATCTTTTCCTGTTATCATAAGTTTGTCAACCATTTTATATTGTCACTTTAACCGCGTTAAAAGAGTATTATCTAATATTTGAAACTAAAGTACCCAAACCGCAGCTTAACATAGAATTGGTTATCATAAAATCCATCAAGATACCAACCTAAACGACTGAATACTACGAAATGAAAGGTGATGTACTCTGTTTTGAACCATAAATTGCATAACGGTACTAATAATACTTGGCTCCCTTAGCCTAAGTAGATGACGCGAGATTCTATCCTGGAATCTGTTGGTTGAAATCAGAGTTCTTCAACCACCAGGTCACCACGCAGTTATAGAACATGACTTGATATGCGATGATAATTACCTTAGTTACTAATTACATGTATCTTATTTGATCTACATTAGAGACTAGCTATGTGGGATAGTGAGTAGTGAAAAATATTCGGCAACTTAATTCAAGTTGGCAATTCACTAACTCCTAGTTGGTTATTCCATATCGGTTGTTGAAACATCTAACAAATAATTTAAGTGTTACAATGTTAAACCCTATCTCAATTCACGTTCTGTTTAGGTCTTCACTCATTTTGCATGAATATCCACAACCTAGTGGTATATATGGGTAAAGCTTAATCTTTGACAACATTTTCAATTCCCAACAGTATTCTTCCTTCTACTTGTTTTGTTTTTTACATTATTTTACAAGGCAAATGGGATTAAACTTGGACCTCATCATAACCCGGTAGGTGGAGCATATAATAATAATAACATGACAAATCGTACTTCTGGTGCCGGTTGCTGCTAATTATCGATAAATACCATGTGTTGATGGATCCTTTATGGGTTTTTTGTTTTGATTGTTAAGAGGAGAAACCTCTCTAAGACAATTTGAAAATTAATAATAATAACAGAAATAAATATCGTGTTCGTTTGTTTGCACTTATTGTTTCCACCCCCCGTTACATTTTGAGTAATTCCTATAATCCATGTGATAATTATGTGCAACTTGGCGATTGATTCATTCTGCTTACGTACATTCTATTTCTTTTTTCTGTCATCATGTTATCTTGTCCCCCAGTATCTCTGTACTCCACTCCCTTTTCTTTCGTCTTCAATGTCTATTTTCTTAGTCTTTCTTTCATATCTATCATGTTCGACAATAACTACACAAATATCATTGTAACTCATCAACTTCAATCATTGCTCATTATGCAAAATCAGTGACCAATACATTTTCGTTTGTTTTGTTCACATTCAATAAAAATTATCTGTCTATTGGACAATATTTCTCATAATATAAATTAATAGAGAATTTGTTTGTTATACTCGATTATTAATCGGCATATACCGTTTATTCTTGTTTTGTTCTCAATCTTTTTCATGATACATTTGATATGTACACTATCTCTCTCCCTCCTTTAAATATACAAATATCTTGTTAGGAAATTCAGTAGGTGGAAATTAATTGCTGTTTTGGTGATCAACTTTTTAATCTATGACACACTAATCACTACATTCATAAACTTGGTTTTAAAGGAGAACAAGTAAATAAGTGTGATACCTGTGTGTTCATGTGTTCTGTATTCGTTACATTCTTAATTCAAAGAAAAAGCTAATTAGTAATTTAATTACAAATATCTTTGTCCACTTGATGTTTTGTGTATGTTTACCCTGGAATATTTCACTTTTTCACTGTCCAAATACAGTTTCAGAAGAAAAACTACACATACACACTTATGAACATGTGAAACAAAGTATTCTATATATTTCTAACATGTGTTAATTGTGGTGAACTATTGCTTTTTTGTCTCTCTTCTAATAATAACTTTTGTTGTTGTTGTTGTGTATGCATTTGACAGCGTATATTTCATCTCATTTTGAAATTTATGTTATTTGGTTATTTGTTATTGTTTTAACCGTCGGGGTATATACATATTGTAAAAATGGTCTACTGTGTACACCGATGGTGTTTAACTGTTAAAGAACTAATCATCTTTCAACTAGTAGGTCATAGATTAAAATTCAACTGTATTTATTCCAATTTATATAGCCGGGTTGTAATTTTATACCTCAGATAAATTGTTAAACTTGAAAGTTGGCTAATTACATTAACATGAGCTTGGTAAGCAGGTTGCATCAAATTAAATTATTAAGTGCGTCCTGAATGATATTACTGAGTGACCTTACCATCGAAGTATATCTTAATCGTGCTGTTGTTAAAATAACTCATGATGAGAATGATGCAGTACTTCTATGTATGTCTAATTAATGCGCCGAACTTTAAACTGCTGTCTAGTATAATTAGCTCACAAATTATAGGTATGATTTACAGTCAGAAATATGGAGTTGAACGTGTTTACTTAGTTGTCCACTTGCATTTTATCAATCCTACTGTTTTAGTGATAATTTTTTCTGGTTCCCAGTGTTTAATTGAAGAAGTTGTCTCAATAGAGCATAATATGTTTTATAAATAAATGACTAGGGTGTTTAGATGTGAATCCACCTTATTTGTGTCTAACTATAGACATATCAATCGATTATAATTAGAAGTCTCGCTATCCGTTGTATCTAGCTTCAACAGAAATTGTCGTTACAACACTCATTTACTAGATTAGCGGTTTGGGCACCCGGTTAGTATTATTAACTAAAAAAAAAGAGACTAAGTAAAAAAGTCAACATTTTTAGGTGTTAATTGATGAGGTAGAAATTCTTACATTTCAGATTTTGATTTTTCCTGCTATATAGTCTAGATAAATTTTCCCAATTTCGAACCAATTAGCACAGATTCCATCATACTTCCACTGGAGTTTTAGGTTGGATAAAATTGTATATCGAAAATAGTATTTTTGGCAAAGACAAATTACTGGCAATTGAAGACCAGATTTCGTCTTCCGGTAACCCTGTGCCTCATTGAGACATCATGTACTACGTACCGCAATCGCATTTACGGTTAATTCGTATGTTAACAGTGCAAATCCGTTCTTAATGTTGTACTAACAAATTCATTCACCACATGTAAAGTGTGGCATAGTTTTTCCTATGATCGAAAATTATCCTATTAACTACATAGAAAATCGCAAACTAGCCATATTTCATCGCGTTTCCGTATTATGATGACTAGTGTAATGTTAACCTCCAGATAACAGCACGTATTATTTTCTTAAGTTATTTTTATAACTACAATTGCCTACAAGTAAACTAATATTTAACAATTTTCACCCACGTATGCAAACAATATTTTGGTTAATTGGATTCACGTTTGGAAAATATAACCAAGCGGATTTTGGAAAAACACAATTTTCTCACTTCAAATCACAAACCAAATGCTTATCCACCACTGAAACTGGAAGCTATAGACAACTGTTTCGTTCTATCATGGGAATCCCAACAATATGCATCCACAACCCTGCATGCGGGAATTGAAACCAAGACCTTCGGTCTAGCGCGCAAATGCTTAACCTCTTGACTACTAAGCCGGCATCCAATGGTGTTAATGTCGACCGGAACACTACTCGATTTATTCCTGATTCTGATCAACAAAAAAAGATACATGAATAAATAGATGACTAATACAACCACAACGCATACACAGTTTGAAAAATATAATTATTTCCCAACCAAATATTAGGGTATAAAATGTTATGTATAAATTACAATGATTTTATAGTAGAAAACAATACGCCAGCGAATCATGCACCAAACGAAAGCTTATGGTGTATGGAATAAACCGGGACCAAACTGAATGTTAGTACTTTGAATTAAGTGAAATAATGTCCAGGAAAATAGCTTCCGTTGTCTGTCATGGCTTTTTCATTTTTCTTTTCACATCATCTTCCCCCTTGACGAAAAGGAAGTCTTAACTGTCATTTGTATGAGGGAAAACGGACTAGTGTTGTGACCCTTACAAAACGTGACCAACCTGGTTATTTCGAATATATAGAAAAAAGAAACAGTGACTAGTCATTAGTTAAAAATAAAGGCTAACATATCATCATTGATAAATCTCCTGGGAACGCTGTACGCTGTCCTTTTTGAGTCAATCTGGAGAAAACCTTATTTTATTTCTTTATTTATTTGAACATATAGATATTGGTACAAGGCGGCACCAGATACATATACGCCACACAAATCTCATTTGACTTGTGTGAAGGCTTTCATACTGCCCGGGTGCCCAAAACGAAGTAGGTGGTTTTCTTAGGGGGCCACATCCGGATCCCTCGACCTAAAGGTCTGATCCACAAGGTAGTGGAGCATCGTAAGGAGACGCAGTCCCATGGTAGCCGGTGACCAACGATTGGTTCATACGCCATCTGTTCCCTCAGGATACTAGAGCCCATATGCACCATTGGTTTGGAATCAGGGTTTTCCAACTCTCCTATGTGGACTCTCCTTGTCCACTAACCCGGTTAAGGCACTGGACATTCGCTTTTCGTTTTCTAAATTTCGTAAACAACACCCCGCCACGAGAAGAGAGTGAGTAGGACTTCCCTGGCAGAGGCTATATACTCGTGGCCATGTGAGAGCATTTCGAGAGGGAGAGCGAACTCTCTCCACTCTCGGCCGTACCAAGGAAAAAAGACCTGGTCTTTTCGGTTTCCGTAATAATCTCGTGGGACTCTGTTGTTGTTTTTCAACCGTCTGAGTAGCTGGACTTCCTACATCGAAACTGTCTAAGATTTTCCACATCCAGCCCAGTTTTTAAGTTTTCTGTGACGTGCCAGAATGTCACACCATGTGGTTGGCATGAAGTATCCACTCTTGATTGTCAACCCTCACCACATACACTGATTTCCCTCGTCGCTCAATTATGCTTCTATTGGTGCTGTAGAGGTGAGTATCGGATGTCACGGACGTAAAATTCTTGATTGTTTTGAAATATCCTACGTTTTGCTCCATAATAGGGATTGAATTGAGTCTCCATATTTTGGTTTCTTCCTATCCCTTGATGCTTCGGTTTTATAGGATCGAGAACAGTTTTAATTTTGCTGACAAACATTTCTGCTGGAGACATTTTATTCGGTGCTGATGGATTTTGAGTTGTTCTATAGACCAATAAAAAATCAAGAATTTCCTTTATCTTCCCCCCACATTTTGCCTTCAGTAGTGCTCTTCTAAAGGTGTCCACAAATCTTTCAACTTGACCATTTGATTATAGATGATATGGGGGTGAACGAACATGTTCTAGTCAAAATCTGCTGCCAAACCTTGAGATGGAGGAAGTAAACTACGTACCATTATCCAGCACAAGTATATCTGAGGATTTAAAACGGCAAAATAACTTGTATTTTCATTATGGTGTCCTAAGGAGTGATTTGGTTCATGGTCAAAATCTCCGACCACATAGAGTAAACGTCGACGCAGATAATGAAATGGATACCTTGGAGTGGGCCAGGAAGATTAATGTTCTTTTGAAGATGACTAAGAATAGTGTTTCGTTTTAGGTGGATATTTAGAAACTGCAGTACATCTGCACACACGTTCTAACTCTGTTGTGTGCATCAATATCATACCAACATACCTAGCTTCGAGCAATAGCTTTCAGTCAGTAAGCTACAACGTTGGACCAGGCGCATATATGCATCGGTCCAAGTTGCCATACCTCATTAGCACAACAAGATGAACACTGAATTCATAGAAGTAGTTAATTCAGTGGTGGTAATATATAAAAGAAACATTACATATAAGGACATAGCACAGGAAGAAAGAATTAGTTCGTAGAAAAAAAGATATGAAATAATTTTAGTCTCATTGTTTAGAGAAAACAGAGTGTATACACCTATGCCATTGTGATCGATTCCCAGCCAT